ACATTTAAGGTTTCAAGGATCTACAACTTGAGTCTGAGCACAGAAAATTTCAGGCTGATGTGCATCTTAGTACTTCCACTCGAATATTTAAGGAATCAAATGCATAAACTTGATTACACAGAAATGTCTTTAAGAAGTATTCCTTCCTGGAACTCTGGGAAAGAAAAATACAGAACCCCAACCAGAGACTCAGAATGGCAGACTTATTCATTCGCACATAACCTCTTAATTTATAAACACCATGGGAACTACTTTAAATTTATCCACATATTTTCAAAATTCCAATAATTGTTTAATGATGTTTAACCAAAAATTAAAATGGTTAAACATGCGAAAATTTAAATTTCATTTCCCATATTATAAATTTGCCTTTTATTACATGTGTTAACTGCAGTGAACAGTGGTAAGAAAAACCAGGACTGATCTTATGAAATCATGTCTTAATTTTCTGGCTAGAAATTTGAAGTTTCTAGAATGTCCCTGAGCTACATGGAGAAAGAATTAAATCTAGGTAGGAAAAAGAATCAAGTAATTTCAAGGAGAAAACAAATTTATTCCTAGAATAAGCCTGTTTTTCAAAAAAAGATCTTAAAATAAATGACAGTCCTTTATGTTAAATAAATATAACTTTATGAAAAACAAAAATAGGAGTAAGTACCATAGCTTTCATAGTTTTTTTTTCTGATCTCAAAGTTTTCCAGATTATCATTAAGTAATGTTACAAGTATAGTTTAATCATAATCCATGTAAGAAAAATTCAATTTGAGGTCACAATATTACTCTTTTCTTACCAGAGAGACACACTAAGGTACTAACAGAGATGTTACAATCCTGGTCTTTGGGAAACCATTGTTTTGAACTGATAGTTGTTTCATTTGTCATTGTTTGAAATTTTATGACAACATACCATGATCTGATGTACTATTCTCCATCCCCCCAGGCTTGGGGTTGGGGACAGTCCTTAGTCTTATGTACTATATTATGGTTCCTTCAATGGAGATTCATAGTCATTTGACTCTTCTCCTCCCATCTTTTCTCATTTCAAACAAACAAGTGAGTCACTCACGAATGCTGCAAGACTGGCTACTCATATTTTGGATGCTTGAGCATTTTGTTCAAACAAGCATGGGTATATGATGATTATTAACACATCCTAGTAGAATCACTAATAGGCTTAACAGGTTGAACAAGATCTTATGCAGAATATTCAAGACTTAAGAAAAAGCAACCTCTCCTAGAAGTGGGGGAAGAAAACCCCAAATCAGTCACATGCCTGTACATGGCTTAAGAACACCTTTCATGGAACTCTCCTACACCACTGGAATTAATATATATTTGTAAAACATTTCTGGAGGGAATTTATGTAACATAACAAAAACCTCCTTTAAAAATACAGCTGGCTACCAGTAACCCAGAGATTCTACTTCTAACAATTCATTCTAAGGAAATAATGGCCAAGTATACAAAGATATACGTGCAAATACGTTCACTGAGCCCATGTTTAAAATAGGAGGAGGAGGGCGAAAAGGAAGGGGAGAAGAGAGAGAGATTAAATGTCCAGTAATAAGGGGATGGATTAAGTAATATATATTTCCCTGTGATGGAAGACTATGCAGGTATTAAAATAATGTATAGTTAATAAGAGCAAAAGATGTCATGAAAAAAGAGCAAGTAACAAAACAGCATGTGCAATACACTATCACTGCATATAGCTGAGTATATTAAAAGTTCTAGGTCAGTCTATACAAGAAATGTTCATTTTTTTGTGGGGGTGATGAGGTTATAAGCATTTCTTTTTCTTTCTTGATGCTTCTATGTTTCCTTGAAAATGTCTCTAAGAACTATTTTAAAGTCCAGCTTTATCTGGCCATGACTGGTAAAGTCACATCTGAATAAATATTTGGCAAATTGAAAAACAAAAAAATACTTATTAGGAAATAGTTCACTGTGGTATCCAAGCGACCAAGATACATTTCACACTGGCCATCCAGTACCAGACTATGACCCAGAAGATGCTGTCAATGTGTTTGCCAGCCTCTCTGGTTCTTTCTGGTCACACTTACTGTTCATTTTAGTGCATTTCCTTTCAAGTTCTTTCCAGTATCAGTCAGAGCTAAACTCTTTCCTTCAACAGAAATATAGTGACAAATTCAGCCAACTAGCTGACTAGCAACACAAGCTAGTAGGAGCAAGTCCTAGGTCGCAGGAAGCTCGCAGATTCATTTGGGGAAACAGGCACACATGCCTAAAATTACAGTAACGTGAGGCTCAAGAGAGGCACACACAGACTCCGAACTGAGCAAGAGTGGAATCGAAAACTGCCCTGAGAAGTGGAGAATTATCTGTCAAAGGACTCAAAACTTCAGGATGAAGCTAAATGCTAAACAACCTCAATAAATAGAAAATACAGCTTGATCTAGTTATGCTGAAATCTGTATTAGTGAGGGTTCTCCAAAGAAACAGAAGCAATAGGGTGTGTGTGTGTGTGTGTGGGGCACATGTGCGCGTGTCCATCCGTCTATCTAGAGAGAGATTTATTTTAAGGAATTGGTTCATGCAAGTGTTGGGGCTAGCAGGTCTGAAATCTGCAGGGCAAACTGGCAGGTTGGAAGCCTAGGGAAGAGCTGATAGCGCAGGCTGGACAAAGAACTGCCCCTTCCACTGGGGACCTCAGTCTTTTTATCTTAAGACCTTCACTTGATAGCATGAGAACTTTCAAACACATCATGGAGGGAACCCAGCTGTACTCAAAAGTCTACTGATTTAAACGTTATTCTCATCTGAGAAATATCTCCACAGTAACATCCTGACTGGTGTTTGACCAAACACCTGGGCACCACAGGTGCAAAGTTGACACATAAAATTAACTACCACAAAAGCCAAGTCAGAAAAGTACAGTAAGAGACAGACACAATAAAATTAGGAGTTCTTCGGCCCCTCATCCTCATTCATTTTATCGATTTTCCATCGTCTCTC